CCTCCATTATTGACCCCATCAAACAAAATGGGGGCGCTAGAGAGCTCATTTCTTATCTAGGCCTAACCGCCATATGGATTTTTACTAAACTTGGTAGATATGTAGAACAGGACGCCTCAAGGTGACTGGAGAAATTTAACTCTAATTGGCAACTGGGTGGCGCTATAACAACAGAAAAATGCTTCAAAATGGCTAAAATGCAACCGATTGCTGTGGCTCCCCCTGTGGACCAATGTTGGTGTTGTTTTCTAATGTTTGGTATGACTAAGTCATGGTATGGTATGCTGTACCCAATGGGTATGGACTAGTTTATCTTATAATTTCTTATCATTATTATTACGACTATTTTTATTATTCATTTTTTTGTCCTGAATTTCTTGTGTCCATCTTTGTGTATTGTTAGTGTTGAAAACGCAGGGATAAAATAAAAAACTATAAGACTTACATAAAGGGGAGAAATTTCATCCAATAAAATAAAATAAAAATTAAAAATGTTCAAGAGTTAGGTTAATGATGAAATTAGAAAGTGTTTGTGGCCATTTAGACCTCACACATTTAAATTTAAGACTAATGACTTTAAGTCCTAATATCTTCATAAAACTGAATTTAAGATCTTTAAAGGACCTGCAGGCAGCCGGTCACAGTTTATGAAATCTGCACACTTCTCATCGATGAAACAACAGATCTACAAACGAGTGCAAACAGTTTATTGATTCTTTTGGACAAAAATGCATCTGAGAAAAAGTCAGTTATACTCCATTGAAGGTTTTGGCCTGTACCTGTTTTCAGATGCTTGTTGGGGGAAAAAAAGTCCAACCAACAGAGCATCAAGGCTGTGTATTTATTATTTACAGGGTTATATGAAACACAAATTACAAATCTAAGCCGTCATATTAAAAGCAAGAACAGAAGAGCTGCCAGTCGCCTGCCAACAGTTCTCCTATGCACATCCTGTTTCACAATGATGTCACTTTAAAAGTCCCAGATACCTGAAGAGTCTGATCAATGTTCAGACACAGAGCACCGACACTTCAGAAGGCTGTGTCACGCTAGACCTGATGAGAATAACAGGATCATCTGTCACCAACATCGACTCTGGCTTCACTGCAGCAGCTGGCAACAAGCTAAACATTTCGTCTCTACAGCAAAGGGTTCAATATCAAGCTGTAATCATTAGTAGATGATCTTGGCAACTGTTTTGATAATCAATCATTTTCATCTTTTGAGTTATGGATCCAAATATTTACTTGTTTAAGCTTTTGAAAAGTTAAAGTTTGCTGCTTTTCTTTGTCTTTACACAATAACAAACTGAATATTTTGGGGTTCAGACTATTGGTTGTAAAAAGACATCTGATGACATCATTTTAGGCTTTAGGAAACTGATACAAGCATTTTTAAACAGTGACATAATGGCAGATTAACCCATTACACATTTATTGTCACACATTCAAAGCTGGACTCAAACTGATTATGTGTGTGTTTCAGGTGTGTGTAGGGACCCTGCGCCTCCTGCTAGTGTGTTTTCAGTTTGTCACCAAACAGCGTCATGAAGACTCCGTAGAGGAATCCACCTGTGAGGATGAGGAGGGTGCTGGATATGGGGCCAAACGACAGGAGGGCTCCGAACACGTAGAGGAGCACCAGAAGGAGTAACGTCCTGTAGCTGGCCAGCGGGCGCAGGCTCAGCATCGGCTGCCGGTTCCTCTCTAGCGTCCGCCGGGTTATCGGGCTCTGCCTCAGTCTTGCAGAGGCATCGGGATCCGCCAAGTAGTGACGACCCAGGCGACCCAGGAAGTCTGGACGTGAGCAGAGAGCATTCATATGCCCTCCGAACTGTGGGAGACATTTACATCTCTGAGGTTAAAACACTGTGAGATTATTGTTTTGGCTTTTTTAGGCTTTTATTAGGTTGGATAGACTAAGCGTAAAAGGGAGAATTCATATCTTGTGATGTCAATACCTTGTCTAAGATGAAGCAATGCTTCCCCCTACCATTATACTGGTGAGGCGGGAGACCCACCAGTATAATGGCAATATATCATAAATGTTAAAATAACATATGCAGACAGCACTTACCCTATCATTAACCAGAGAAGAGATCTTGTAGAAAAGCCTGACCAGCAGGGCGCTCTCATAGCTCCTAATGGGCTGGAGCTCCGGGTCTCCTTGATACTGAACGTCAAACCGGCGCAGTCCACTTATAATCTGCGCACACACACACGCACATGCACACACACACACACACACACACACACACAAACACACAATTTTAGTCCCGCCTAATACATGCCCTCCTTCTCTTGTACGATAACTTGAAGTACGAACCTGCCTCCTGCCCAGGTCGGTGAGAATGAGTCCGTTCTCTCCCTGGATGCAGTCTGGCAGCTGTTTGCTGTTTCCATCGTCCTGAGACGAGCCCAGGTTGGATATGAGCTGCGTCAGCTGCACCTGGTTCAGCTACAAAACAAGAAATGTGAAGTCAACCAGGTGAACACCAAGAGTCAGGATGGTTTTGCATAAATGTGTGACTGAAAACTTCCTCTGAATGTAACAGCAAATGGAATTTACATTGTCGGATAATGTAACATACTGTAAACAGGTTGGTTTATGACCTAATAACTGCAAAGCATCATATTTATATTTCAATATAATAAATGTAAATACAAAAACATATATATGTCAATAAAATAAATTGTGTGCACTAGGGGTGTGTCATATCATATCATATCATATCATATATCGTTCACAATAATACCGGTATAATCTTTGATTTGATATGAAAAATTAATATTGTGATACTTGCAATATTTTGACTTGATGACATATTGATGTCATACTGTTTGTTACCCACGGCAACAACAAGCATGGCTGAAAGCAAAACTATAACTGACTCCGCGGTGGCTCTAAAAAGAGGAGCAGCTTCAGCAGTGTGGAATAAACTATGGCGTCCTGAATGTTTTATGAACAGTCCCGGACCTCTCAGACTCTTTCAGCGACAGAGGAAAAAAAAACTAAACAGCAGTTGAACTTGTCTGACCTTGAAGATTTGACACAAGTTCTCCAAAGCTCTGTCCAGGAATTCGTGAGTCTTTTTCAAGCACTCCCCGCTCTCCTCTGGCTCAGCCCCGGGGAAGGTGTTGTTGGGATCAGGAGAGCCCATCCCAAACCAGGACATGAACGAGTTATTGGCTGCCACTTCATTGGAGTGATCCGATATCCTCTTGGCTGTCTGTCGGGCCTGTGCAATTATCTGGATTAACTTCATGACCTGCAAACAAGACAAAAAAAATACTTAAGATTTTGAGTCACCACAGTGGGTCATTTCTGTATGACCTCCCACTGCATTACAATTAACCACTTTGTCCTCTACCAAAGTAAAACTACCAGAAGAACAGAACCTTCTGGGTGGAAACACAGATGACCCAGACTTTAATCTCAAAGAAAAAAATCATGTGGTGACCAAACTTACGGCTCCTCTGAGCTCAGGGCCGAACATCTGTTTGTACTGGCAGTCCTGGCCTTCCAAAGCATAGACGTGGCTCTTCACCCTGAACACCACGTCTGTCACCACTCGTTGCCGTGACGACAGGTAGCTGCCTCCTTGGCTCGGCGTCAGGTAGCCGCGGGGTTGGCGGTGGTGGAGGACGTGCTCTGGCTCCAGAAACAACTGCTCTCCTGTAAAGAGATGTTGGGTTTAGTTTAAGTTTTTGTAGCAGCATAACAGTTAATAGGGGTGCCCTCTCAGTGCACTACACAGTGTGTACTTGATGCTCTACTAAAAGTTATTTCCTGTAAATCTCAAGAGCTCACACTCGACACTGTACTTCCTTGGGTCCTCAACAATACACCCGCCATGTGTGAAGTTGACTGGATAAAAGATTGTTGCGAAAATTGAAAGATAGACATCCATTTGGGTGAGATTAATTGATTACATGTCAGAGATGATGCCCGACAAGGTGTCATTAGTTCCAGATAATGGGCATTATCCTGCTTAGACAGGCATGTCCAAAGTCTGCCCTGGGGGTCAATTTTAAACAGCCCAGAGTTTGTCTTTCCAAATGTTAGGAGTGGGGGAAAAAAAAAATCGATTTTTAGATGCATAAAGATTCTGTCTTGAACGATGTGAGCATTGATGTGGAAAACTCAATCGATTTTAATTTTATATTTATTTTTCAAATTACCGTAACTCCTCGACTATTCAAGCTATCAATGTAATTCCAACAGATTCTGAAAGCTGAGAAGCTGAGCTTTCCAGTGATACGGTACATTACGGTAGTGACGTCATTACCTGTGAAGGAGGGGAGGGAAGTGAGCACAGCAGGAGGAGAGTGACAGCTGATGAGGAGAGTGCAAGTTGGAGTGATTTAGCAGAGTTTTGGTGAGTTTTAGTGGAGTTTGGGTGGCGTTTTCTTTGTAAATAATATTTAGTGTTGTAAATAATAGTATTTGTGTTTTTTTGAGAGCTTTTGTAAATACTGGAGGAGAAATGTTGAGAAGGTCGACAAGGGACAGGAGAGTCCCATTGAGATTTGTGGATGAGGAGGAGACTGGTGGAGTGTAGTCATCTCAACCACAGTAAGTAATACAGTTTGTATGCACCGGATATGTATTCCCAGCTTTATTACAATAATGTTTTCCAATATCTAGTGTAAATTTTCTTATTGGCTCGTTTTAGAATCGAGAATCATTTTATAATCGAAATCGTTGCCCTCAGAATCGGAATTAAATCGAATCATGAGGTGCCTAGAGATTCCCACCCCTACCAAATGCATTATATGAGGCCCACCACACAACATTGGTTAATCAAGCAAGATCACTACTTTTTTCCATTCACCTCACGATGGCAGGGCTATCATCACACAGTTTGTAGGCATGCACCAAATAGGAACTATGCAGGAGGAACTAATGTGTTTTCATAAACGTAAAGAAGCAAACGAATGGTTAGCAAGAGCAGACATTTCCTGCAAACATGGCAACATCAAAGAAGCATCAAGTCTCTCAGGAGGGGTAGAACGTTGAATACTTTTTCACTGAAAGATGAAACAGTTACATGTGTCTCATTAGTATGTGATTTTTTTTAAAAAAAAACAAACCCATATGATATGAAATGCAGCTGCCCCCAGGCTTTGTCACATTCAATTAACTTACACAGGGTCAGCCTCATACCTGGAACAATCACTACCACCCCATAAGGTTTTTACGCAATGGAACATTATTCACTTCTCCAGTAAACAGGATGAACCTTAGATACGACTTAGCGACAGGAGGTATTTCCAGTCCATTCAGCTCATACGGATGTTTAGAACTGGGTACTGTTACACAAATCACATATCCTAATGAAACAGTTATAGAACTGACTGATAATGAAAATAAAAATGCATTTCTATCCCCACCTTTCTGGATCATCTCAGCGAGGTTTGGCTGTGCGAAGACTTTGGCCACCCTGAAGACCATCAGTGCATTTTTGGCATTCACCAGATCCGTCCTCACGGCTCTGTTCAACAACACCTGGAAGAGCTTCGTGTACATGAGCAGGTTCTCCTGAACAAACGACTCCCTGTCAAAGATCAAGTTAACGTCAGAAAAAAATATTTTCACCTCAATATCAAACCACCAGTGTGTCATGTAGTCACACAGCATGACCACAATAATAACCATATCTACCAACACAGGTCATTACACCAATATTTTTCTGTTTCAATCATGTTTGTATGAAAATGACGACCACTGCATGTTGAGCATGTACGAAAAGACATCAGACTCACCATTTGTCAGGTACTGTTCTGTTCTGATCTGGCTGAGAGTTGGTCTTCTCTCCTGTGTATCTCCATGGTTGGATGTAGCTCAGCCATGTTTCCAACACCTAAACACAGACACGATACACTCTCTTAACAATAAACTAAATGCGTAAACGATGTGTGTCTCTACAGCTGTATAGCTGAAATAATCTTTGTATAGTCTGAAGGCATGACTTTGAACATTTCTTACCACAGACTGCTTGCTGTAATAACTGAGAAATTAAGACCTATTGTGCTGTTACACCTCCTGAAATATTGTCTAAAATGGCGGATCAACTGAATGACAAACGTTTCTTACAGCAGAAAACTGTTTACCTGGCAGCTCCTGAATACAAATGCAGAAATACTGTAAACTGGACAACACTTCACAGGTTTAAGTTAAAGGTCTAACGCCAGGGCCACACGCATTTCTCCACGCCGTCGACAAGTGATTCTGCTCCCAGCTGTTGTTTTTCACTGCCTGGCTTGACACATTCGCTTGCGGCTCGCGCAGAAAATAGACCAGACGCCGAACTGATCGCTGCAAATCGAGAGCCTGCCGCGGAGCTTCCCGGCACGGCCAGTGTGGATGACACAGTCGGTTAACATGGGCGCCGAAAGGAAACTGCCTTCACTTCTCGGCGCTTCGAGGCTATTCGCAGCGCTTCCGCGGGCGGTGTGGCCCTGGCGCACTCACTCGGATATATTTCTCTTTTAAAGTTTGGCTGCAAATTTGTTAATATTTAGATAACAAACAAAGAAAAACACACGCACATCCAAACCGGAAGAAGGGCAGGTGCTGAACTGAAAACGATGCAAACAACAGAGAAATCAAACGGCTCGCACACTGCAGGGCTCCAATGCTCAGTCGAAATTTATTCAGGTAAGTAACGTTTCGAGCGTCATGCTCTTCATCAGACTTTTTAAAAGTCTGATGAAGAGCATGACCACAATTTATTCAGGTAAGTAATGTTTCGAGCGTCAGGCTCTTCATCAGACTTTTTAAAAGTCTGATGAAGAGCCTGACGCTCGAAACATTACTTACCTGAATAAATTTCGACTGAGCACTGGAGCCCTGCAGTGTGCGAGCTGTTTGATTTCTCTGTTGTTAATATTTAGATAATCCATCCACTTGACAGGTGTGGCATATCAAGGTGCTGATTTAACAGCATCATTACGACACAGATGTGCTTTGAGCTGATCACAATAAAAAGGAGAAGTCCTCACTAACACAGATTTTCACATATTTGCGACCAAAATTTGAGAGAAATATATCTATTGAGTGCATAAAAAAGCCTTAGATCTTCAACTTAAACCTGTGAAAAATGGAAACAAAAACAAAAGTGTTTTGCCTTTAAAAATTCTTCTGTGGTTTAAATATAAATTTTTTTTTGGGGTGAGACCTACCGCTCTGAAAGAGGCGTCGAGAGGCCAGTGACCGAAGCAATGCTGGAGAAACAGGTACAGCTTCTGTTGCACAAAACGCTGCACAACCACTCTGTAAGGAAAAGGAACATCACAACATTTTGTGCTTGTTAAGGGTGAATTTTTTTATCATATATATATGAAAACACTTCTTTTATAAGGGTACGACAAGTCAACATCCAATAGCAACCAAGAGCAAATAAAGTCAAAGGAAAAACAATCAAACTTTGCTTGACAATTTCAACAGATCATAAAATGGTTTTCTGTATCAAAGAGAGATTCACCTCCAAATAAAATATATATGTACATTTTTCCTCTTACCTGTAGTGCTGTTTGTGTTTTAGTGTGAGTTGCCAAGTGTTGGAGAAATCTCTACAGCTGATATCTCCAACACTCGGCGACACACACCAAAAGACTTTAGATTAATAAATGGCACTTCAGGTAAGTGGAAAAATGTGTATTCCTGATGTTGGGTTGAACTGTCTCTTTAAGGCCGACCTGCAGCATTACCACAGACTCTGACTGTCGCATGTCAAATGATTCTGACCTCTTGAACTCCTCCAGCGGGCTGGTGTGAGTGTGTGAGTGTGCTGAGGGGGAGGAGGACAGCTGCTCGGGCTTCAGGCTGTTGGAGAAGGCGTGCAGATGTTTCACCAGGAGACGCACCACCAGCACGTGCTCCTCTGTCGGGCTGAAGGGTTCCTGAAGAGACAAACAGTCACAAAGTGCTACACACATACGTGACACCCCCCCATTATCTCAATCAGCCCCCAGCTTCTGAAGCAGCCAATCATAATGCATCCCAGTCCAAAAGCAGCCAAACTATCACCAAAGGCTCAGCGCATTATCTGCTCTATAGAGTACAGAGGTCTCACGCCTGTCAATCATTTGGTTTGTCCAGTGTTACTGGGAGAGACTGGGTCTGGACCAGTTAGTTAGCAAATGGTTTTGTCTGCTCTGTGTGCGGGTGCTTCTTTCTGACCAATCTGTGTTAGTATGACTTTGGTCCTAAATTACAAAAGTTAGCTCAACATCTTCTCTGGTTATTTCATCTGAGCATTCCTACTGTTCCAGAATAGATTTTCTTTCCTGCCTAAATAATTTCATCTTCAGCAGAGCTGCACGATATACAGTTGTTTTTTCTTTTTTTAAAATGTCATCTTGATGTGAGCTTGACTGCAAAAGACTACAATATTGCACTCAGGGATTTTTTTTAATTAGCTGAAAGACAGAATCAGTGGGAAAATGTACTTTAAAGTATAACTATAATTCTACTTTTTATATGTTGAGTTCAATGTTTAATTTGAGCCATAAAAGAATGCAGGAAATAATTTCAATCAATTTTTTTTTTAAATCCAAGAAGCAACCAGTTGTATTTTAGCAGTATAGAATGCTCCAAGGATGATGTACTTCTGTAGGCCAACACAGAAGTAAGTGTCACCTTGGTTTCCTCGTCAAAAAGCCAATGAGGTTTTTTCCACTGGACTTTGGATTATTGCAGAAAATCAGCTCTGTGACAGACAAACATGATACCTACACGTTTTGTTCAGCAAGAGAATCTTCACAAATAAACACCACTGTTATGATTTTTGGAGCCTAAATGCAATCACCAGATGCAGAAAGCTCACACTAGGCTATAAAAGGAACTACACTGCAGTTGCATAACTTCAACATCCCCACCACAACAAGGCTGTAAAGCTGTGTTCAGTGTGATGACATTCTGTGGTCTCATTTAGCCACTTGTTGGCAACCGCTTTTTTAAGACACATAAAGGCTTCACAGTTCATGAGTGGGGTATTTACTGAAACAAAACCTACTGACTTCTACAACCAGGGAACCAGGAGTGCTAAAATGCTAATGCTAATTACAGGTTTTAGGACTCATTCCTGGAGCACTCTATATTGAAAGCATCAGAGGCAGAACTGAGTACACTCACTGTAATATATTTTTATTTATCTAATATGGTAATCATGATATTCATCAATGCTATTGTGTATCACCTATTTTCCTAATATTGTGCAGCCCTAATCTTGAGCTGACACCTTTCCCACACCAGGACGTTGCCTTTGAATTTATCCCTATAACGGTAATAATAACACTAATAATTAAAAGAACTGTACTCATACTGAACCTGCATCATCTGCTATTTGGATTTTATCCGTTTTATCTTCCTAAATGTTGTATGTCTTTAATCACTGTACATATTGTATTCTTAATACAGCATTTTTCCCATTATTCAGGCAAAGGGATCAGAGTCCTACACTGGGTACCTGCAAAAAAGCTGTGTAATGGGTTATAAAATAAATAAATAAATAATCTAAAAAATGAACTACAAGCAGGCGGGCAGTGGGTGAGGACAAAAATATATTCTATCTATTTTTCAGAATAAAACGAAGTAAAAAGATGTGCAGTGATGTGTCATATTCTAACATCTAAATCACTATTATCAAACTGCAGTTCCTTTTACTTTGAAAGTCAGTGACACAAGTGTAACCTTTGACCCCGTCGCCACACTGGTCACCGACATGGAGGACTTTAGCTGTGAAACACTGCAGCCCGAGGATGAGGTGGCAGCCTACATGGAGCCCAAGGAGGATCCTTCTGACGTTTTATGGTGGTAGAAGGAGCATGCTAAAATGTTTCCTGACCTGGCAGAGCCTGCGCAGAATGTTTTCGGCATCTCGGCACTGAGTGCAGCCAGTGTAAGAGATGTATCCTCCGCTGAATTTATAATTCAAGAACGGAGAACGCAGCTTAATGTGAGCGACTTTAGCCTGTGTGTATTTACTCATGGTGCAGGTTGGGACATGGGACTTTCATTAACAGGTGTAGGCTTAGACTTAGATTCTGGTTGTGAGCTTTACGGGTATGGGCGGGTGCAGGTTTTCAAAAATGGACCCTTGCAGGACTGTGAAAGGGACTACTAATGAAACCTTGCTTTTCAACTAAATCAGGTGCATTTACATTTGTTTAAATGTTAATTAATATACATTGTACCTTCTTAAATAAATAAATTACAAATCACATATATCTATTATTTTTCAGTCTTGTCAAGCTCAGGTCTTAAAACTGTTTCAGACAGTAATTGAGGGCTATACAAAATACACCTGATATACATTTTAGCTGTTTGATACTGGATGTGTACATGTGTGTATATTTACTATATAACTTTTTTTTATATCTAAAATTTTCAATCATTCATTATGAAATAATCACTTCATGACAACTGACTTATTAAAATGTAAGCACCAAATTATATTTTAATAAATGACAATCTAAGGTGGGACCTCAGTGCTCCATTAGCTGCTCACAGCAAAGCTGCTTTGTCAGAATGATGCAGTGTTTCCCATAATGCAAACAAGCACAATCCTTACCTCTGTGTTCTAAATTAATTTAGGCTAAGAATCACCAAAAAAAAAAATCTAATAAATAAATGATTTCACAACTGGCATGTAAAATAAAAAATGTAGTAGTATCTTTTGCTTTACGTGGAGCAATAGTGTCAATAGAAAGGAACATTTATCACCCACATAAACACGTAAAGCAACAAAGCACACCAGATTCAGTGTAAAAAGCATGCCTTTAAAAAAAACAAACAACACAAACAGCAAAAGAGAACCACATTCAAACCAATAAAGGCTTGCTCAAATTCCAAAGCTTCATTCCAGGATTACTTTCCTGTCAAGGATACTTCTCTGTAGAGATTCACAATTTACAGTCAGACTGAGAGCCTCATACAGGAAACACAACAGCAAGATTTGGTGCATGTAACGTAATAACGTAATCTCTGGTTTGTCAGGACCAAACGTTGCTGCTCGCGGATCCCTTTATGAAAAGCCCTCTTTTAACAGTCAGCCCAACATCATTAAACCTGGCTGCATTTTAAAGTCAAGCTCATTAAAAAAAAGAATTTATTCATGACTTAAAGATGAATAGAGATCTACTGCCACTTAATGAGACTGGATTGTCTTTAATAATTTGGAAACATACTGTACATCACAATTCATCGATCACCTACAGGTTTTTTTCTTTTATAGAAAAGCCAAATTAATTCCACATAATGGCCACTTGTGTCGTGTGTAACCAATGAAGCTGGTGACTGGAGGGACAGTGTCTCACCGTGTGTGTCCATATGAGAGAAGTACCCTTGACTCTGACCTTAACTGACTGAGGTTTACCTCCAGGAGGCCCCAGAGGGGCGGGGGTGAATGAAAAGGTAAAAGTACTTGGTAGGTGTGGAGGGTCCCAGAGCCTGGTGGGGCGTAGGGTTGGCACGGCATGCTGGACATACTGAGGCGGTACTGCAGCAGCGCCAGCTGTTCACCCGTAACCACCAGGAGGGAGAGGAAGATGAGGAAGAGGAAAGGCAACGACAAAAGGTGGAGGAGGAAGAGGAACAGTGAAGAGAAAGAGGAAGGAAGGGGATAAGTGACAATAAGGGAGGAAGAGGAGGAAGGAAAAGAAGAAGTGGCAGGAGGAAGGTACACATGAGAACAGGAGAAAAGGAGGCAGCGAAAAAAGGAGAGTGCAACCAGACAGAAACAATTGGCCAAAAACATCCAGGTGGAAAAGAACAGAGAACAGGAGGGGAGACAGACAAAAATAAAATATTGACTGTGGGAACACAACGTTTGAACTGCTGGGGAACGATGCAGAGGCCTTTCCTAAACTGCAGACAGAGGGATTACATGATCGTAGGGATGGGAATAATTTCACACTGGATCAAGCTTTTACTTCAATTCAAATACTAAAAAACTGTCCATTAACAAATTTATAATTACTTGACTGAGTTATATTGTTCACATTGAACGAAGGGTCTACAGCAGCGACAGGAGAGCCATCGTGGATAAACACATTAAGTCCAATGCGAGTGTTGACACAGAAGTGACTGGACACACATCCATAGCTAAAGGAGTAACTGTAAAAATGTTCCAGTTCCACTACACCATATATCCAAATGGATGTGTTAACACTTAAATAGAATTTTGCACTTCAGCTTTTAATCATTCCCATCCCTAATGTTTAACATCATTAACAGAGTGAACTCAAAACTGTAAGACTTTGCTTTGCCTCAGTAAAAATGTCAAAATAATCAAAACTGTGTTAACAGAGGCACTGCATACAGGGAAATCTATAGTTTGTGGTTTGGTAGAACTGGACATAGACTGTACCATTTGAGCCCGTTTTAGAAATGTTGTTGTTCAACTCCAGCTGCTACAGTCCGAGAAAACTGTCTGCAATGTAAAGCAATAGATCGCAATTTAGGCCCTTTTCCATTGTAATTTTCGGCCGAGTCAAACCATGCTGCACTGATTTACATTTCCTCTGTCAGTTTAAACATGCCAAGCTGCACCAGAGATGGACCTTTTCGTGTGTAGGGCCAAAAGCACACCCAACCACCTCCAAGCTGACCGCAGCCAACCCGTGACCGCCTTTCTCCCCCTGAAACAAGTCTATGTGTTGCGAGACTTCATTCAGTCCTTTCTGTGCAGGAGACCAGAGAGCGAGGCGTCTTTAAAAGTCTCCTAAAAGTTTCCAGCTCTCATCTGCTTTATTTTACTGTTTCACGTTCACTTTAAGCCATAAGAGTCTTGTTAAGTCACTGCTGATGAAAACCAAACATGTCCTTATTTTGGTGCTTCACAATAAAAGCTTTTACGTAACAAAATAACAAGATACTTTTATTGTGAAGAATCTATGGGAAATTAATTGTCAGTGGGTTTTCTTCAATAAAAACAAGTCTACCAGCGCTGCAGGGAGGAAGAGTAAAAGATGGACTCAAATCATACAGTGAATGCCCAGTTTAACCTCATACTTATTAATCAAGTTACTTGTTGCACCGTATATACCGAGAACATAGCCTCTTCTTTAGTCTGTGCCATTCAAGCTTAAATCAACTTTGCCAAAATCTTGCAGTTTAAGTCCACTCTTCACAGGATGGACACAGAACACAACACAATAACTCAGCATTTAGTACACAGGAGGCTGACAAACACTGAGATGTTTATGATGCAGGTCACTGGTCAGCGTGTTACAAGAGTTGAAGGGCTGTTTGACTGTTTCCTCTGCAGCCTTATGGAGCAGTAAAGGAGCTCAGCTGATTGAAATTAAATCTGATACTTCAGCAACATAAATGCTGCAACAATTACTGAACTGACAGATAAGTAATTAGCAACTAATTTGAGAGTTGCAGCTTCTAGAATGTGAGGATTTATTGTTGTTGCTTCTCTTACATCACAGTGACTGAATATCTTTGGGTCAGTTGGACACAACATTTGAACATGTCATCTTGTATATTATGGTATTGGTTTATTATAGGGCTTGTTTGTTGTAGTTGGAGAGTCTGGTAGGGAGGATTTATGTTCTGTACCAGTAAATTTCCAATACATTTTTCATTGTTTTTTGATGTTTTATAGACGACTGATCGATTATTTAAGAAAGTAACTGTCACATTATTCAATAATGAAAATAACCAACAGTTGCAGCCCTTATCTTAACCTAAAAATAAGCATCCCTTATTTTAGATTTTGACTTAACTACAGATTATACTGCCACATAAAAACTGAGGAAACAGTGTTGGTGGGTGGATAAGCAAGTGTGTACTACATCTCAGCATCACACTAACCATGCAATCTGTAAAGCTGAACGTCAAAGTGTGTAAACTATAGGGCAGGTATGGTGCAGGTAGAAGGAACAAACACCAGCATAAAGTCTCACTGTGATTGATTTTGATAGGTGGGCACCTAACCTCTATGAAATATAATGTACTGCAGCTGTAACAGGTGGACAATTTTCAAGCCACTCACTGGATGCTTCATTAACGTTCTGCAGAGGTCGAATTTTAGGCTCAAGGTATTAAGGTAAGGTGAGTTTGGCTGGTAATAAGATAATACAATATATGACTTCTTATAATCCCTCAGATGGGAAAGTTATGCCCTCTTAAGATACGATGTAAAACCCTGACAGGATCCTTGGACAGGGTTTCTCTCCCGGAGTGCTTCTCCTGTGTCACAGAGCATTTTGAGCAACAACGTCATTTACAATCTGTGTTTGGTTGATTTTTTTTGTTATTCTGTTGTTTCAAAGTAGAGAATATTTAAAGGGAAATAATGGCATATCTTAACCTGGAGTATTTACCATGAATGTGACTCTAAAGCTCCTTTTACACTGCCAGATTTTTGGCGAATGTTGGGTCATTTTGCCAGCAAGCTGTGAGCGTTTGGACACACAGAACCGGATTGGTAAGTTGATCCGAGGTGCCCAATTTTCCGCCTCGTAGGGTAGACATATTGGTGGAATCCTTTTGGATTAAACAGAACGAGGCGGCCTTCCGCCACGGGAGGGGCTGTTGAAGACTTGTGGGAGGGGCTGTTGAAGACTTGTGGGAGGAGCTGTTGATGACACCGCATGTGCGACCCACTGGCGGTGGATAAACAGGAAACAGCTGATAGCAGGAATTAGCGAGCAACTAGTAGCAAGAGGGAAACACAAACCTGACAGACGCTGTAAAGATGAGCAACTGGGGAGACAAGGAATTGTGCGCCCTCCTTGTCCTAGCAAATGAAGAGGCCATTAACCGTCAGATGACGGGGACGGTGAAGGACGGGCCGACTTACGAGAGAATCGCCGAAGGACTGACCAGCTGCGGCTTCCCTTGGAACACGTTACTGTTTACGTCACACGCTGAGCTACACATTTTGTTACTTGCTCACGCCCCCCATTGCCCCGAAAAAGGCACATTCTGTATAAACAAAAGTAGGTAGGCGGCATTTTGCTGCACTCCCCGATTTTGTTTTTATACTGCCAATGATGAAAAAAGACTGATTGGGCTTTCCTGCAAATTTGCACAATTCCTATTTATTTAAGGGCTTTAGTCTGATTTATATGCGTTCATAAAGAACGGTTCCTTTAAAATTTGAAAAGCCCTGAGGAAAATGAAAATTCACAGCCTTTTGTTTTCTAAGGGTGTTGTTTCACTTTGTGGTGGTTTAAGAAATTTGTAAAACAGATGTAAAAACTTGTTTTTAAAGCCCTGACGAAGACCAGCAGTGGTTGAAACGTGTTGGCTCTTTTAATGATTTAGCCACTACGTTAAAGGCTTTTTAAAACTCCCTTCCTCTGTTCTATATTTTTGGAGTGCCTGGATTGCCCTTCTGTGTATCCCGTTGTTTCCCGTTCTCCATGAGCACCAAACACAAGGTTTTGATCTACGTTTGATTACACATAGCAACCAGTCACCTCTCTTTTTCTTAAAAAAAAAAAAAGAAAAAAAAATCGGTTTGTCATATCAGCAAAAATCCACATGTTGACCGATTCCAATATTTAATTTTAAAGTCAGTGTCAGCCGATACAGATGATGTGCTGATATTATCGTGCATCCATAGCTGGCAGAGTCAAGCATCAAAATGTTTAAAGACCCCTGCGTTTAAGGGGATCATATTAGCTGTACATCCTCTACAGAGTCTCCAGAAACCTTCACCATGTGGTGGCTTTATGATGGTGTTTCACACACAGAACAAATCGACTTAACAAACACTTGGTGACGGTGACATGCCAGCATGCAAAGGATGTGAAAGGAAGCAAAAGCACTACTACTGGGAACACATGCCAAAGTCCTTAATACAGTAGCTTTTCTCTGCAGCTACTCATACGCTATAAAAGGGATTTTAACAACATTTCATCTATAACCCAGAAACTGTGATGCTTCGAAAGTGGGGAACAGGGATGCCTGCTGTGCATTCACACTGCGAGCAGCTCAAGAAACATTTGAACTTCAATCAGCTTAATTATGTCTCTTTGGCTGCAATGAGTTCTTTTTCACTGACAACAGTTGCTCATCTGCAGGACAATATGCTGCTCATCTTTAACACTCCTGATGGTACATAGAAATGTGACTGCTTGCAGTGTGATGACAGAGTTATGGGTGAAGTTGTCCTTCAATATTGGAAAAACAATAGCTTTCTTACCCCTAAGCTTACCTAAAACATGATATTCTTTGCTCTAACTAAGTTTTTGGACAACTTCCCCCAAGCCTGCTCAGGGTGTTTTTTGTATGTACCAGCCACAGTAGCCGGTGCATCTTCAAACTCAGCCCACTCACAGTTTTATAAAACATAGCTTTAGAGTAGGACTTCCTGACAGTAGCTGGTCAGGTGCAAAATGGCTGATGGACAAAATCACCAACCACAAGGCTGCTGGCCAGCACAATATTCCCACCCTGGGCTTGCTCCAAGGAGAGACAGGGATGGCAGGTGTTGGAGAGGGAGGTGGGGTTGTGGTCAGCCAGTCAACAGCCAGCCGTGCGATGCTGCAGTGTAGAGATGAGGAGGGGGGGAGTGTGAGGGGAATATTTCTCTTACCTTCACCTGAGGAGACTGCAGCTTCTGGTACATCTCTAAGGAGTAGTGATGGAGCCAGATCTCCACAAACATCTTAGAATAAAACCACAGACACACACAGCCTTAATTCATATGGTTAAACACTAGAACCAGCGTCTGTTAAAACAATGTCATTCATTCGACGACAATATTCTTGAGGGTTTTCAGTGAACTTTATCTCTCACTTTTAGAACATTTTGTAGCTCTCCAACACCAATCCCGAGTACATGAACTCATGAATCATTTTAACCCACAGTTTGATTTGTGTCTCACCTGTAACAGTGTTTCAGACCTCCAGATTTCCTGGGCTGCGGGGTCTGCATTAACTGACGGTTGATGGAATATGTGATGTTTCAGGAGACTTGGGGTGTGAACGCCATACCCAGCGAAGGAAACACTGGCTGATCTGTGAATTTACAGTAGGAAGAGAGTGGAAAACATATAAAAAAGATAAATATTTTGTTGTTACACTGGGTTAAACATTCAATTATTCAACCTCCACTGGGATTTTTAACATCAAAAGGTTTGCTTGAATGTGGTGTGTGAAAAAACAGACAGCCTGCTCTTCACATCTTCTAGCTAAAATCTTCAGACAAATATGAATTAGCCAACGTTTCTTGGTATATAAACCTGGGTGGAGGTGCAGTGACGGAGCCTCTGGAGTCAGAGAAAGGGGAAGGGGGGACACTTCCTTCACTGGGGAGGAAGTATTTCAGGTAAGTGTCCACGAGCACAAAGTAGGCAGTGTCAGTGGAGCTTCCATGTTGGCCTTGAGGATAGTTCTGAAAACATAAAAGTACTGATCAATTCTCCCTGTGAGAAATAATAGTCTTAAGTTATGTCTTATATACTATTTTCTGTATAAAGCATAAATGGTCATCCAGCTTCCACAGCTATAACAATTAACTTAAAAAGAATTAATCATGAATTATGAATCCATAATTTGTCTTCAATAATCCACAATTCGGCACAAGCTTTAGCTGATATTGATGACTTATCCCCACTGTTTTCAAGATACACTTAAAGAGTAAGCTGGGTATGTTTCAACCTCGACCCTATTTCCTTTAGTATTAGCACTTAAGTGACTAATGTTTGCACTGTCAATTTATGTCCAATAAAAGTGTTTGTTTTTGCCACTGGCAGGCTTCGATTATTATTTTACATGTGTGACAGCATGTTGGAAAGGATTCCCAAAGAGACAGACCTTTTGGTTAAAGAGTAGGATCCTTTTTGTTTAAACAGATACAGACAAGAAAATTGCTATCGCCGTACCTATCAGATTCTCTTCAAATAAACAGCATCTTTATCTCCATAGAACCAATTTGATTCAAAGTCAACAGAAAAACTGACTTGGTTCGTCTTTCCAGTGTTCCAACAATCATCAACTCTGGTTTAGCTGAAATAAACCCTTAATTCTCCTGGGGGTTAGATGTGCAAATATGCTTTCTGATTATACAAAGCATCTTACTCTTTAACATAAAGGTTTATCTCTTCCATAAGTCATCAGACACTCTGAATAATAAACTGAGCAAATACAATCACTTCTGTCTGATAACATTATGAAAAAGATTCCTACAGAGACCTTGTTGTTACTAAGTAAGACTGATTTTGATGCTTCTGGCCAGTGACACCATTAACTAAGAATATCACTGACAGCATACTGTAAAACTCACCTTTGGCGTGATGAGACAGTAGGCAAAGTTGAACATGAAGAATTCAAATGGATCTGCAGAACATTAAGAAAAAATCTAACTGTACAAACGGGTGAAGTCTGTTCCCTCCCTTGATTGTATGAACCCTCGTGTTGTCATCTGACAGTTGGCTCGTTGTTAAAAAGTCACACAATAAACATCTACAGCTGTCAGATTTTAAGACAAATTAGATAAAAGTTTAAGTCTGAAATCATGAGTGAATCTGTTAGTAGATTGGCAGAAACAAATCAGCAACTATTTTGACAATCAATTAACTGTTTCAGTCTTTTTCTAGGCACAAACTGTGAAAAAAAGCCACATATTGGCAGGTTCCAGCTTCTCTAATGTGAGAATTTGCTGCCTTTCTTTGTCATTTATTAAAGTGAAAATCTTTGGGATTTGGGAAGACATTTTAAGACATCACCCTGGGCTGTGGGAAGGACATTTCATAGACTTAGAATTATTTGCAGATTATCTGACAATAAAAAAAGAGCAAAAACACTGTTCAGCGAACAACAGTTATTATAATTATTAGTTATGAACCTTCACATGGTTTTGTTTATATATTCAATAAAGGCTCAACTCGTCATGGGAAATCCCTCTCTGATACCGAAAGACAAGCCAGACAGATTAATGTTTGTGTTGGGAAGGATACTGAGAGCAAGGTTCAGAGTCAGCACACCAGACAGGGGGAACTGCAGCTTGTTGTGAAACAGCGGACAGTCTGGGAGAACTCCCTCCTGGATACAGGCTTTCACAGGACCCTGCAAGACACACAAGTGAGAAATCAGGCCACAGCGTTAAACCCTGAAATCAGTGGACACCCACTTCAACTGTAACAGCTTTCAACTTTAAATTAAAGGATATTTCATTATCTACAAGTCACTTTTTCTCTACACCAGTGGTTCCCAAGCTGGAGTCCTGACTGTTGCACTTATTGCATTTCACTATTTAGATTACTTGGAAGTGTCTATTTGGGACTTTAAGTGAGTTTTCTTTTGGTGAGGAATTTATTGATTGGGTCAAATTGTTATATTCTGCATCACAAGCAACAGTTTCTATCAATGGGACAATATCTTCTTCATTCTCAGGTACAGAACAAGGATGCCCTGTATCACCTTTATTATTTGCATTGGTGATGGTGCCTTAAGCAGAAACAATTCGATCTAGTATCTTAGTCACTGGCATTTAAACAAAGGAAAAAATTCACAAGATTTCTCGTTATGCTGATGATGTTCTCTTATTTTTGAGTAATCCCACATCCTCTGTTTCTGCTGTTATCAAGACAATTTAGAGTTTGGGGTGTTTTCTAGTTACAAGATCAACTATGGGAAATCCTTGGCCTTACCACTAGGGAATTTAAAAAGCTTTGATTTATTGAAATCCATTCCATTTCAGTTGTCTTATAATGGATTTAAATATCTAGGCATTTTTGTCTCTTTTACTTTTGACAATATGATTAAAATGAATTTAGATCCTGTAGTAAAGGAAATTAGAAAAGATCTTCAAAGATGGAACCCTTCATCAATTTCACTACTTGGACGGGTTGCCATTATAAAGATGAATGTTTTACAGATGTTATTATATCCACTGCAGATGTTGCCTAATTATGTTCCACTGAAGTTTTTTAAATCACTACATGGTATTTTTTGTAAATCTGTTTGGAAATGTGAGCGACCCAGGCTTAAGATGGAGAAATTACAGATACCTGTGGACAAAGAGGGATTAGCACTTACCAATATAATGCATTATCACTGGGCTTCACAAATTAGATATGTTACAGAATAGATTACTTGTAGTTCATCAGTTTTCTACGTAGTTGCATTGAATACAATCCAAAATATCCTTAAAAGATGTCACTTAGTCAGAGGCCAGTTTACTCAATAACAGAAAAGGGGTCCCTTAGGAAAAGGTTGGGAACCACTGCTTGACGTCATACAATACACACTTACCAAATGACAGTCAAGACACACTCTAAATATTATATTCCACAGTACAATTTACTGAAATGACAACCTTTATTTTAGCATGCAGTAATGAGATTCAACATTTAGACTGGAGAAAGCAAAAGCATGCAAGTATTAATTTCCCAAACGTTAACCCTAAACTGAATAATTAACTGACTTGATGAGGTTTATCACTTTTGTCATATTATCACAGTTTATTATGATCATAACTGACAACTACAGCACAAGGGTCAAAATTACCGCTCTGCATTGATATCAGTTTTTCTTCTTAATCATTTGGAGGCAGCGATGCACAACACCTCCATAATACTGCCTTACTGATCACTATTTGTCAGCATTCATCCTGCTACTTATGCTGCTTTGTCACAGTAGGTGATCTGGTGTTCACTGTGAAACACTCTGCAGGAAGTATCTAGCTCAGCAGTTCAGTTTGGGTTTGAGAACAAAATTAGGAAACACGCACGGGTAGTTAAAGAGGTTAGCGAAAGAGGCTTGTTATAGTTTACAGAAACCTAAAGCTGCTCTTTTCATTGCATATGACAAAGACTTTTTCCCTTATGTACCAGTAGACAAACCCATGAATCCCACAGGAGATAAGAGGAACTACTGCTCCATACATGTAACAGACAAGTCAGATGTGAAATCATGTCAGTCACTGAGTCAGGACTGGCCAGCAATGTAATAAGATGCTGACAGAGGGCTCTGTTTATGTGGAGCAATGCTATCTTATTAGAAATATAATCAAACAAGCATTGCAGATGTGATGCCACTGTGTGCTCTAAAATAACTGTTACACCAAACATGAACTCAAGTCTTCGTGGAAGCAATGGATGCAAAGAGTGTCACTGAGTGTGATGCAGGGACTAAAGAGAAAGATGTTCTTACCGGGAGATAATTGACAGGTATTTCATATTTGTACTCTTCCGCTTGAAGTTTATACACGAGCTTCATCATCGGCCCACTGAAAACAAAATCAGATGAGAGGGAGCAGTGTTTGACTTGATTCTTTGAAACACACAATGAATAAAATTACACTTGGCTGATGTCATCACACGGAAAAGAAACTGAAATTACCTGGGGTTTAGAAATTCCATAACAATGTTGTATTCATTGTTCCGTGAATGGAGGAGTCGCAGGTTCCAGCCAGCGATGATGCCGTCCAGGCTACCAAACACACTCTCCACCAGCCAGGGGAAAATCAAGTGCAGCTCCTAAAGGGGAAACACACACAAACATAATCTGTATCATACACTGAAAACACATTTAACACAGTATTATGATTCCCATAGCAGACATGTCTGTTCTGTGACCACAAGTGACTGTACAAGTGACAATGCAACGCAGAGCTGCACTAAAATGACATACTTGGCAAGTTTTGGAGAAAGAAGAATCCAAATATTACTTAAATTACGCATTGAGTTAGTCAGAGACACACTGTGTCTATCAGCTGTTTCTAATGTATTTCAGAAAATAACAGGAGCCTCCAACCGAGTCGAGGTAAGACACAAAGAGACAATAAAAGGCTTCAGACTTATTACAATACACCAAATTTACACTCATAATATAAATAAATATTAATACTTCAGTGAAAGAAATTACACTTTTTGTAGTCTTTAAAACAATACAAAGATCAGACACATCAGCAAAGCAACCTGTGACCTACATAGCTGACTAATGGAGCCAGTTTATTGCAGTTAATGCAGATGGTTATGGATCAGTGCTTTTTCAGTTGTACTGAAGCTACACACTACAATGCATCCAACACAGACTGTAACACAGCTGCCTCACACTCGTCCTTTGTGTCACTCACTGCAGCATCAACAGCTGCTCTCAAACAAAACATCCAATGTCCACAGTGACCCCCCTCACATGCCAAGAGGAACAATCATTTATTATATGCTGCGCTATTTTGTGGCACTAATGTCTGCAGCACATAAAGGCTTACAACACTGACTGTACTGAGTGACATCTGAACACAAGACAGTCAAATATTATCATGAATAGTACAGATGACAGTACAAAGTGCAAATGTCCTTTTAAGAGAAAGTGAAGACGCTCAAAGTGAAACTCAGGAGTCACAGTCCTGACAGCTGTCTCCTCATGCTACTAGCATTAACATAAAAGGTAAGGTCAAGCCAGCCGCCTGCCGTCTGCCCTGCAGTATCCAGTCAAGAGACAAACAGCTGACTGAGTCTGGAATACTGTGACATGTACAAATCAAATGACATTCTTTTGCAAATATTTCTGGACAATAATCTTGTTCAAACACTATGTGGAGCCTGAACAAAACCATACAGCTGCTTTACAGTACATATTAAATGTTGCACTGCACTGGGACTGCATGGTTTGTTTCAGTGTGTAAGTGTCACCATTGGTTAATAAAAGAAGCCAGTTTTAATTATTGTTAAAGTATTAGCAGTCATTTCTGTAAAAACTGCATCTTGTGCACCAATCAATCCATTTTAGTAACATAAGAAATACATTTAAAATGACACGAATGAACTTTAATGAAAAGAGTTGTAATATTTTACCATGTGGGAGTTAATGCTGTCAGTTCAGTTTAATTCATGGTAAATGGACTGCAGTTATACATCATCATTTTTCTAGCCTTAGTGACCACTTAGAGCAACAACACAAGCACCATTCATGCATCGGGATCAACATGGGGTTTAGCATCTTGCCAAAGGATATTTAGACATGTAGACTGCAGGTGGCGGGGATTGAACCACCAACTTTCAGAATAGTGGACAACCTATCTACCTCCTGAGCCGCGGCCTGATATCACAAATCACAATTTGTCTTAATAGGCTTTAGTATCTATATAGCATATAACTCCCTTTGTCCAAGCCTAGACCCTTGCTTCAGATAAGTAAAAACTCTGTGTTCAGAATAGAACAACATAATAAAATTACAGTATAGGTGATCCAAATGACTAAAATGTTTCTTTCTCAATCTATTTCACCCAATTCAATCTTCCTCTCACAAACTCAGAGTGATCACTTCAGCAACTATGACTATAAAAATTAGGGTTATGTGACAGTCACAACAAATAAAGCAAAGACAAGACAGTGATGGGAGAGTTAACAGTACCTTTGCAGGATATTCATCAATGATTTTCACCAGATCTTGGCATCGCTGGATAAGAGGTTTGGTGGTGGCATCAGCTTTAAGATTGGCCTGGAACAACATCACAACACGTTTGGTGAACCACAGAGTTGAGAGACTGTGAGTAATTCTAAAAATGGACGATTCAACTGTAATCTTAGTACTCAGATGGAAGAAAGAAACAATTGTTAAATAGTAAATCAGCCAAAGACACTAGCTGTATGACAGTATACGAATCAGACATGCATAGATATGTATAGCTGGATAAAATCTAAGCTCCCAGCAGCTATTAATCACACTGATTCTCGGTTAGTAACTGTAAACAATCATGCTAATGGAGACTCACCAGTAGGAAACTGGGCTGTTGTAATATCGGAGCCGCCATGTAGGACCCTTCTGTTGATTTCTTCTTATGTACAGTCCACTTGAATCCCACCTGGAAGAAGTTAACACCCACGAAACTTTGTTTGTAAATGTCCTTAGTTGGAGTTAGCTGACGACACAAGCTAGCCTAGCATCACTCCATTAGCCCCCTGAGCAAGAAAACACACCCGCTGATCACTGAAACTAACGGAAGCTGTGGAAACAGGCTGATAACTGTATGTTCTGTTAATCCGACAACAATGTCTCCCATTGACTGGAAACTCAGCTGGCAGACAGTCAGTCAATGAACCATGCATGTTAGCACGAGCCGGCTAGCTAGTTATAGCTAACTAACTTAGCTGGCAGAAATAGACCTCAGCTGACAGAACAGCGGTGAAGTCTGCCAGCCGCCATTACAGACACCTTAAATAAACCTTTAAACCTTCAAGTGAACACCTCTTTACCTTCTCCGCACACAGGAATTCAAAATTTGGGCCACTTTCTCATGAACCGCGTTTCCATCAGTGCGATTCAAACGAAACACGAACAGTCGTTGACTTCTTCTTCTTCTTTGGTGTTTGGTTGGTAGTCATGTTGGTGCACATTACTGCCACCTGCTGGAGCTACTCACCTCCTCCACCGTGCGCTTCATTTCCACCATGGATCCGTTACATCAAGTCCTATTGATGATAATAATAATAATAATAATAATAATAATAATGATAATGATAATAATAATAATGATAACGGTAATTGTTACAATAATAATAATGATAATAGTAATAAAACAACGACAACTACTACTACTTCTAAGGATAACAATAACAACAACAATAATAATACTAAATCAGTAAACAAAACATCCAGCAATAATTTTTATTTCAACTACTACTACTACTACTACTACTAATAGCTATTATTATTAGTAGTAGTATTGTTTTTATTATAAATCAATAAAACATCCAGCAATCATGGTCTTTATACTCATAATTATAATATATACTTTTACTCACTGTTTAACACTGGTTTTCGTCTCTCTCTGTGCACGTGTGTGTGTGTGTGTGTGTGTGTGTGTGTGTGTGCGTGTGTGTGCATACTGAAACTAAACTAAATTCAGCTGAAATAAAAAAGGAAATAAAAATAAAAACTAATTAAAAATACAAAAAAGTATTAACTTTGCTGTCCACCAAAAAAATGTATATTTTACATATGTATATCATATCTCTATATTTTAACTTATGCACTATTTTAAGTGTAAGATACTCATTTTTTTGCTTGCCTAATTTCCTTTTAATATATATTTAATGATTATTGTTGGAGACTTTTGCGCAGTCCATAACCTCTACGATTAATGAGCTTTAATCTCCATACAGTGGCTCAGTAAATGTGTCCTCTCACTCCAGTACACATTTTTTGCATGCCTTTTAACATGTTACTGTTTCCTGTTAATAAATTTGACAAAATGACTCCCAAACTAAGACTATAAATGTCTTCCGTTTGTTTCTTGTGCTTTCACTGTTGATGTATTTTCTTCCAGGTTATGTCATTATTTGTTGTTTGACTCCAGAAAAGGATCACCAATCAGGTAAAATGGCAACTTCTCTGCAACATTTTGCAGGTTACCAGGTCCATAGTGTGGCGCTAACTTTTATTTACTGCACATTTATTCAAGAATTTGTCCCATTAAATCATAACCATGTAAAGCACTTTGTGCTTCATTTTTGTATGAAAAGTGCTTTATAAATAAAGATTGAGATTGATTGATATTGTTGAATGAAATGATGAGATTTGGAGGCACTCACTTCTAGAGGGGCTCTATGTCAAAATGTTGTTTTAATACCTTCATCATTTCAGTTTATATTATGCTTACATGGCATATTGAAATAAATATGTATTTAATGAATGTACAAACAACAAACCTGAGTGAACAATAAACCTGCGTCAGTTAGTCCAGTACAAGAATACTGTTAATGTCTCTGAGCAAAAACAATGAACCCTTAGGGGTTAATCCAGTCCTGATGTCTACTTTTGTGTTAAATAACCTAGAATAGTTGTGTAAACCAGGACCCACATGAATACAACCTCTCTGTTTTACCTGAAGACTGTTTGTGTAGATATGCAGTCTATGGTTTTAGCAAACCCGGTTTAAGTCTCTGTAGCATACTAGATATTCATGTAGCCTCTTATATGATATTATATTCATTCACCGCTTATCCTGTTAGGAGTAGTGGGGGGGTGGAGCCTATCCTAGCTGACACTGGGTGAGAGGCAGGGTTCACCCTGGACAGGTCACCAGACTATCACAGGGCTGACACATAGAGACAGACAACCATTCACACTCACATTCACACCTACGGACAATTTAGAGTCACCAATTAACCTGCATGTCTTTGGACTGTGGGAGGAAGCTGGAGCACCTGGAGGAAACCCACGCTGACACGGGGAGAACATGCTAACTCCACACAGAAGGGCTCCCCCAGCCCGGATTCAAACCAGGAACCCTTTAGCTGTGTTGCAATAATGCTGACCACTGCACCACCGTGCTGCCCTGTTATATTATATGATATATGATGTGTTGATCTACCTTTAAGAAATAAACTTCAGTTTTGTGCGAGTGAGTGTGATGCACGACAAATAAAATTCTTGATTGTTTTAATGTTTTTATTTTACAACATTGTGTGACTTATTCACATACAGCAACATACCAGTTTCATGTCTTGATCTTAAAGCTTATTAGAGCTGTGAAGTTAAAAAAAGTTTTAATTTTGCTTTTGAGAAACACACAAGTTTATATCAACACCAAGACACTGTTCTAATTCTAGAATACAAAGAAAGAAAACTATCAAAAATAGAGTTCTTTAATATACATTAATGTGAATAATAATTATTAGTTACAAGGCAGAATTAATAAGCTATACATTACGTATTTTCAAGCAAGGTCCATTTCATGTGTGCGTTTCCACCAAGGCCCATATTCATTCCATTAGGTGTGTATGAAGAAGATCAACATTACGTCTCAGAACAAACATAAATACATGTAGAAACATTAAATGTTTAAATACAGTTAAATGTGTAGCAGTAAATCGGGCAAACACTTTTCTTGTTTAGTCTTCTGTCATTCATTTATACGGAATATAAAGTGAACATATTTCTGTCTGCATTGTGTGTGAGATCCTCATACACTTTCACCAGTGTGTCAGTTTGTTATGAAGAATTTGCAGTTTTGCAGTAAATGTCATGTCAGCTGTCAGCGGTGTTATTCCGCAGACGCACTGCAGAGCTGGTTGTACAGGAAGTCTAAATAGATATATTGAACAGAAAATGGGACATAAAAGAAAAATAATTGTTGAAGTGGAGATATCTGTATGTTTATAGAATTAAAGTAAAAGTAAATAGTCTGATAAGGTTTCCTACATTAGCCCACTAGTCTCACTAACACTAGAAGAAGTAACTTTAAACGCAGATCACTTAGCTCAAACTGTTTTTGGCAATGCTAGGCTAATAGCTACAAAGAGGAGCCATAACAAATGGTAGCTTGTACTTGACAGTTAATAAGCTGACATTATGTAAAGAGAGATATGATCAGATAATTGTTTCTGTTTAGATGGACAGACGATACAGTATTCTGCGTCAAATCAGAGAGGTGGTTGTTCACATTTTAGATTTTGTTCAAACTTTATGTGCGATGTTGTTATTTTCACCCCCCTTTTTAGGGTTCAATATCTCATGACCCAGTTCCCAACCTGGGATCCCACCAGGGATCGCAAAAGCTTCACCGGGGAGTCTTGATTTTAAGGGGTGTAAGAAAAGTTGTTTAAAAACTATACAGTAAACCTGCGTCGAAGCATTTCATTCATTTCTGTGAGGAAAACTAAATGCTGTTTTTAAAGTTGAGATCATTACTCAAGATATTAACATAAAAAAACCCAGCTGGATAAGGACACAGTGAATACAGGAACAAACTTTTTTAAATGGGGCAAGACACTTTGGGGCCAGCTGCTTTTCACACCACGTGGGAGCCATGCAGTTTGGTAGGATATAACAGATATAAATGATTGCAAGGAACTAGCAGGTGTCATATCTTTAGTTTCTGGCCCTTGAAAATGGAAAGAAAAGTGCTAAATGGATGGTTTGGACAGTCCCCCAAAGTATACACATGGATGTTTTCTTTACCTGCAGCTAAAATATAATATCTAATTGATGTTATACCAAATTTCAGGGGCTCTAACATGAACAGAATCTGATAATTGGCAAATATGCGAGCAGAGGTTGAAATTAATTGTCTGTTTGAGATACCAAAGTGGCAATGTGGACTTGACTCATGGGGTGGCTGAGGCTCAGGAAGTCGAATGGGTCGTTGTTTAATACCTGGCTCCTCCAGTTCACATGTCAAAGACACTGAACCCCAAAATGTTCCAGATAGCTGTGCCATCAATGTGTGAGTGTGTGTGAATGTTTAACTGAGTAACAGGTGGCACATAGTATGGCAGTCCAAAGACTAGAAAGGCGCTATAATGCACGTCCATTTACCATTCAACCCTAAGATCATGATCACCTGTGTGAAAAGTTACAAGCTTCTCAAAATTCTTCCAAAATATTTGACAGAAATTGAGCATAGCGCTAGTTCAGCTTTCACTCAATCATTTTTTGGCCTCAAACAGCATGTACAAGGTTTGAACAAAATCTAAAATCTAAACAAAAACTAGGATCTGATTTAACAGAGAAACCTGTGTATTGTCTTGTAAAGTGTCAGCATCAAATACACATGCCTCAGTGTGTTATACACAGATTATACTTGGCACAGGTGTGGCTGTGAGGTGTGTCACAAGCTGATTTATCATCCAAACATAATATAATAACATTTCCAATTTTAGCTGAAGCTTGGAGCCAACTGTCCCAAACAGTAATGAATAATGCTAATATGTATTTTCTTTTTTCCTACACATCCATTTTTTTGTCTAAAGGTCAAAATTACTGTCAGTCTTTAATGGCAGATACAGTTGGTGTCACTTTACCAGCTTATTTGCTCAAAAAGCAAACACTGTTGATGAAACCTCTCCATGTCCTCTGCGTGTCCAGGATCTGTTGTCCATGAGCAGTCTCTGAGTTCTCCAGGTGACTAGAGGGGAATCTCAGGAGGGTTGTTCCTCCTCACCCGGGCTTTCCTGCTCTCCTGTTTCAGCTTCAGAGCTCGGAGTTTCTGCTGCCGGCGTTTCTCGCGGTACCACAGCTGCTCACAGTACTCGTCCACACTCAGACTGTTGGTCCCCACCATGTGCAGGTCTTTGTAGCTCTTGAGAGGAAGCTGCTGAGGATGCTGGGACAGCCACGAGTTCCTGTGACCAGCAGGTGGAGGTGGTGGGTGAAGGAGCCCCGACTGGCCGAGAAACCCGGCTACCCCGGTGGAGCCGATCCTCCCGAGGACGACCGGGCTCGGGTGGTTTGGGCTGTGGTTGTGCTGGTGACGGGTCGGGTGGAGGCTGTGGTTGGGGATGATGTGAATGCGGTATCGGGTCAGGACCTGGCTGTAGGAGTGCTCGTGGCTGGTGCAGGTGTAGAGGCCTGTGTCAGCCAGCTCCAGGTGCTGAACCAACAACCCTCGCTTCATGTGGAGGTGGCGGTCATCGTCTCCTTGAGGGAGCTGAGGTGACAGACAGACGAGAGGGTGACGACTAAGTGTCAGTTGATGCTCTTAGAATTCACATGCACAGTTAGTCTGGAACCTCTCCAAGGGCTGTTATCAACGGCCATTGATCTAAACGTTCATGAGTGATATCTATATTCTTACAGAGGATTTAATTTTGACATAAAGCTAATATCACTGTAAATACTGCAATAAAGCAAGAAGCAAAACTTCATGGTAGGGAAACTATCACCAGCTGGGGAGACAGTTTTTCTCTTTTACAAAGGAAATCAGAAAATATTTCAATCTCTCTTGTGAGAAAAAGAGACACAAGAAAAGACACATTAGCACCAACCGATGTTTCCCGAGAGAATGCGTGCGACTCACCTCTCTGCTGTCCTGCGTCTGACTGAGAGTCTGCTGCTGGCTCTCTGTGTGCTGCACCGTCCACCTGAGCTCAGCCAGCGGCGACCGAGGAACACACTCCAGGAAGGTTGAGTTTCCCTCCACACCGTACACCAACCTCACCTCCACAGAGTCCGAATCTGATGGAGCAACAAGTAAAAACATAAAGACATTCAGCATGTAGAGTGTTTATGTGCCAGTGCAGTTAAAAAAGAGATTAAAACAAACATGGTAAATCTTCAGTATGTTTGGTATGCTCAGTGTAAATCTGAAAAAGCAGGCAATACGCAGTGTGTCACCTTCTTTTGACACTTAACAGGCAGAGAAACAAAAATGAGCACAGACACAAGCAGGCCAACAACAGGAAAACATGTTAATATTATACAGAAACATTTAAATGAACATTTACATGACCCTAATGGTCACATTGGTGCTGCCACTGCCACATATTTGTCTCAGAAGCAGAGAGAACTGTAGTTCTACAGTACGACCCCAAGAGTGCGCCCTACGTCTGCCTGCAGAGCAGAACTGTAATGGAGGTATTTGACTGTATATTCTCAGTCAGTACTGTAAATGTTTTTCATTTCAGTTTTGCAAAAGTAAAATATGAACAAAAACTAGATAGACTCTGCACACCTGATATTGATGCACTAATGAAGGCTGAGAGGTGCCAGCTTCCAGGAGCAAGTTAAATACGTATCTTACTTCATGTAAAAATGCTTCTTCAGAAGCTCTTCTACCCCGACCAGAATACAGTTCTCTAAAACAATAAATACTCACTGTGGTTTAAAGATATTGGACATTGTGCAAAATATTGTCAGTCATCAGCTTCAGTGCAAATGAATCTGTATCAGACCTCTATTTTAAAACAGTTTTGGTGGAAACCTGTTGCTAAGATACTGCCAAAACTATAGATTTGTAAATGGTTTGTAAGGCAGGGGATAACTTTACTAGCTTCCTCAATAGCTTCCACTGTAGTTTGGTGTGGCGAGACCATCATCTGTTTTGTAAATGTATAAACATTTTCAGAATGCACTTGTACTTCTTAACACTGAAAGAAAAGGAAAAAAGTTGGAGGTGCTGTTATTTAAAGGTGCAATGGTTTCACTGATCCACTCCACTTGTGATCAAACTGGGCTCTGAGTTTCAATGTGGAGAGGCGATTGGCAAAATAATGTAGCACTGGAGAGACTAATGTTTGCAGTTTTGCCAGAAGTGTGCTGCTGAGTGTAAAGCAGAGAATGTGCATTCAGTTTGTCACACTTGGTAAATGCCTTGGCTACAAGTGTTGATGGTTGCAAACATAGTGCTTCAAGAATCATTCAGAACTAGAGTAACCTTGTGGTTGTATGCTGCTGCAAAACCGTTAAGTTGCAAAAACATGGCTGCTTCACACACATCTTCCCCTCGGCAGCACAGAAGATAATCAGGAAGTTTCAAGATGGACACCTGAGATTAGAGTCACCAATTCAGCAACTGACCAAATGTCTCCCCTTCTGTTCCTGAGTTATGACGCTGAATAATGGCCAGAAAAGTGTTTTTGCAGAACGTTATGATGTCATAGTACAGCTGACCTTTGACCTTTTGGACAAATGTATTAGACATTTGTGGGAAGTTTTGTCATAATCATGAAATAGGCATGAAAACATCCAGACATCAGATCCAATTTTTTTGCAGTTGCGAGTAGCATCTCCATTTCCCCTCTGCATTGCATTGTGGGAAAATTAAATCAACTGCAGACTCAAATATCTATACAGTCTGCATACTTAGAAATGTTGTAATCTCATCAGTGTCAACACACTACGTACTTAAAACCTGCTGAGATTTACATTTACATTTACATTTTGGAACTGAGACACAGAGACTGACTGAAAACAGATTCATCCTGAATACTTTTGATAATTAAATGATTAACTAAAACATTTTTCTTTCCAAAGATGATACAACCTCGAGACAGATACACCCTACTGTCATCTCCTCTCTGGGCTTTACGGATGTTTTACATTAAGACTGTTTAATCACAAGAATAAAACCAGGTCGTCAAACACAGTCAGATTTATGCAGATCTCTCTATAGGAACCAAACAGTCGCCCAACTCTGACGTTTTACATTCCACACCCGCGATGGCACTTTAAAATATGTCATCAATCACAGAGTGTGTATGTGAGTGGAAATCCTCTGTCTCTAAGTGCACACTAACCAGGCTGGCTGTTCATGATGTAACTGGTGACAGGAAGATAATTCAAACAGAGACTTTATTTGTATCAGACGGCGGAAATCCTTACCGTCCTCTGTGACCGGGCACTGACTCCAGGGGTCTCCATACTTTATATCCTGTCTCCGCGCCCGCCTGACACACACACACACACACACACACACACACACACACACACACACACGCACAGAAGAAAAAGAAGACACAAAGAAACTTTTTAAATAACTTTTGCTTTAATCTTTTAATTATTTGTTGCCTGTGTTGCACTACGATGTACGAACACATGCTAAAAATGTCAATAATGGTTACCATGACAACAGTCTGTAAAGTAAGCAGCAGACTCAACAGTTAGACACCAGCTGACTGCAGCAGATACTGCAGTTGTCTTTAGATAAAGCCGTGTAACAGCATTAAATCCTCCTCCTCACTGTTGTTGCTGGGCTCCTGCCGGCTCCTCGGGGGTGAAAATATGAAGCTACTGCGATTATGAATGAGGAAACACGGAGCAAGAACAGGCTATGAAAATACAGAGTGTTGTTTCAGCCACGGTAAAGAGTGTTGTCATGTCTCCACCTCCTTCGAGGTCGACCTTGTCTCTGTTGTGTTCTGACCTTGCTTCCCGTCCCTGCACACCCTCCTTTCTTTGCTCTACGTTCTTTAGACATCTGACAAATCTCAAGATCTCTCTGCTGCCCATTTATTTGTCATCCTCTCCATCACTAACGCTCACTCTTTCCCTCATGCACAGCTGTCTCGTTTTCTCTCCATCAGTCTCCACATTTATACTCGACGACAGTTTAACCCCCTCTTCATTCCTCTCTGTCTCTCTTCAGAAGATGTCGAGTTAATTTCAGTCTCTCCTAATTTTTCCATTTGCTTCACTCTCTCTCCAAATGTTTGGGGACACATTCAGAGATATCAAATCCAACTTCATTTTGAAAAACAAATTAAAACAACTCTCAGGGGGCATGAACAGATTATGAGACAATGGGCCCCCGTGCACAGAAATGCAAAGGGCCCCACCACCTCTCCTACACAGGAGCATGCCAGCGTGTTGCATCTATTTGTAGTGTTTATTCATCTTTTTGTGATTTTTTTTGCCACTTTGTGCTAATTTTGTGACTTTTTTTGTCATTTTGTGTCTCTTTGGAATTATTCTGTGTCGTTTTGTAGTTGTTTGGGTCTCTCTGAGATAATTTTGTGTCTCTTGAAGTAGTTTTGTGTCTTTTTGGGTCGTTGATTGTTTTTTGTCTTTATGGAGTCGTTTGTGTCTCTTCGAAGTAATTTTTTGTCTAATTGCAGTGATTGTGTGTCTTTTTTGGTCGTTTTGTGTCTCCTTGTGGTTGTTTTGTGTCTTTTTGTAGTCATTTAGGTCTCTCTGAAGTAATTTTGTGTCTCTTTGAGGTAGTTTTGTGTCTTTTTGGAGTGATTTGGGTCTCTGAGGTAATTTTGTGTCTCTTTGTGGTTGTTTTGCGTCTTTTTGGAGTCATTTGGGTCTCTGAGGTAATTTTGTGTCTTACTGGGGTGATTTTGTGCCTCTGAGGTAGTTTTGTGTCTTTTTTGGTCGTTTTATGTCTCTTTGTGATTGTTTTTTGTCTTTTTGGAGTCGTTTGGGTCTCTTTAAATTAATTTTGTGTCTTACTGAGGTAACTTTGTGTGTTTTTGTAGTCATTTGGGTCACTTAAAGGTACGTTTGTGTCTTACTGCAGTGATTTTGTGTCTTTTTTGGGTGTTTTGTGTTTGTGATTGTTCTTTGTCTTCATGGAGTCATTTAGAATTTTTGTTTTATTTAGGTAGTTTAGTATCTATTTGAAGGAAATTTGTGCCTTTTTTCTTTTTGTGTCCCTTTTTGTTTGTTTATTGCATTTGTTTGGGTCTCTCTCAAGTAATTTTGTGTCTCTTTGAGCCTGTTTTTATAACTTTTTTGGTGATTTTGTGTCTTTTTGTCATTGTTTGAGTCTCTTTGAGGAGAAGTTTCTGTCTTACTGAGGTCATTTGTTGTCTCTTTAAGGTAATTTTGTACCTTTTTTTCTTTTTGGTTGTTTTGTGTCTCTTTTGAGTCACTTTGTGTCCTCTAATGGTTGTTTTGTAGTCGTTTAGGTGTCTGTGAGGTAGTTTTGTGTCTTGTTTGCTATTTGTTTGCTCGAGCAGAGACGAACAATTTAAAAATCTTTGACATCATCACAATGTAAAGTCAATGAGCTGAGCAGGAACTCGCAGGCAGGCCCAGCAGGAGAAACATGACTGTGCAGATACAGTGGGCTGCGTACCGCGGAAGAAAACCCAGAGGCTAGAAAGTTTTTGTGGTGCATGCGCCAGGCGAGATCTGGTATCTCGGTATTGTTATACTTCGTTTAGCATGTTAGCATGCTAACATTATTATTATTATTAGCAGTAAACACAAAGTACAGCTGAGGCAGTTTTAGGGGAACTGAAAGTTTAGCATGATAATGGTTTAATCCAACAAGTAGATAAAAAGTGTTTTTGGCCCTGAATTTGTAGATTTTTGGGATGGGAGGGAAAATATCAGACACTGGTATCAGCTTCACACTATCTTTCTATAAATTTAACATGACCATGATTTACTGACCACTGCTCATGATGAAGCCTTCAAACAGGACAGTGAGATTAAAGCTATTACTCATCCTGTTACTCCTATCGTGTGTGTGTGTGTGTGTGTGTGTGTGTGTGTGTATGTGTGTGAACTCCCTGTGCCTCTCTACCTCTTGCTGGTGGGGAAGTATCTGGAGCAGGTCTGACCGTCCCAGGAGCAGTAGGGGTCTCTGGCCAAGCAGCACTCAGCGCAGTCTGTCCCATATAACTCACACCTCTGGAGCCCCAGCTGGACCACGCCGAGCTCACTGGACACATACAGCTGTTGCTGCGGAGGAGAGAGAAAAACAAGGGGAGAGATTCATCACATTTTTCTAGGTTCACCGTAACTCCTTCTACTGTTACAAGAGGACAACAGAGAGTCAGTAACTGGAGTTTAGGTCTTTGGCTTCTGAACAATAGACGTCTCTAACAGAAATGTTGAAAACTCCCACCAACATTTTCCTTTTTCAGATGTCAGGGTGAATCTATCTATCAGTATCTCAACAAAAAATCTAGTTTGAACACATTTTATTCCCATTTTTGTTCAGCTTCTTTTTATGCTTTTTATGAATATGAAAACAAGTTAGCTGAGAAACCACTAAATCAGCCTCAGTGTAAAGTTAGAACTGAAATTCATTTTTAGAGGTGGATTTTTATATAATATATTTTTTCTTTCTTTCTCTATGTTCATTTTTTAATTATTTTTTGGAACCACAGTTTACCATTGTGGTCATATTTTTGACTGACAGTCTGTATTTAATCTTAATAAGTCAGAACCACAGTACTTTTCACATTTTTGGGGTAAGTGGACCAGTTTTCCATCAGATCTACTTTATACTGGTTAGTGACTGACAAAGGGCCGTAGCCTGTGTTTCTCCTTAAATCTTGATACATTTTGGAAGTACCGACCTGGAATAAATATCAAAAATGCAGACGCACATAAAAGTCAGACCACAGACAGAAAAACAGGCAGACAGATAGACCTACTCTCTTGGTTGACAGCTCCATGCTCAGGATGGGAGTGGGACTCTGCAGGACAAAAAGGAAAATAGATTAGACATTAGACATTAAAGACACTGACTCATCGTGGTTTAGAAATCTGTTGCATTAACTTGTTTTGGTCATTCATATGGATTTACTGCAGTCTAATAATTTAAATGTCAACATAAACTGGGAGATTTTCGGGATCCTTTTTGCAATATATGGACTTAATTTGACTGCATTTGTATCTAAAGCCCTTTTTAGATGGAGTTGTGCAAATTTGCAGGAAAGCCCAATCAGTGTTTCTTCAGCATTGGCAGTATAAAAACAAAATCGGGGAGTGCAGCAAAATGCCGTCTACCTACTTTTGTTTATACAGAATGTGCCTTTTACGGGGCAATGGGGGGCGTGAGCAAGTAACAAAACGTGTAGCTCAGCGTGTGACGTAAACAGTAACGTGGGAGGGAAGCCGCGGCTGGTCAGTCCTTCGGCGATTCTCTCGCAAGTCGGCCCGTCCTTCACCGTCCCCGTCATCTGACGGTTAATGGCCTCTTCATTTGCGAGGACAAGGAGGGTGCATAATTCAAAGAAAGTTCATCAGTCAGCAAGATTTCATTGGTCGCTTAGTCGCAGAAAAACAAACAAAAGTGAAACTCTATCAGGAGCTGCACCTTGTCAAAATAACTCCAACCCTATATGAGTGGAGCATGTGTGACTTTACTTTGAAAGGACAAACACAGGAAGTGTCCACGCTCAGCAGTCAGACAGGAGTCAGGTTAATTTCCAGGGCTGGTACCTGCGGTTATTCCACAGGCTAGTTAATAACATGTCGGGCAGGAAATCCAAAGTGTGGGATCATTTTGAGAAGGTGAAGGACGAACCCAAGGTGATATGTAAACTCATCTTCATTGGT